TGTGTGGTCCTGTTAGTCTGAGACTGTTCTCCTCCTGCAAAGTCTGAGTGTCTTATACAATAACCTTCACGGTGAAATAACCATCGGTGTTGCTGCCTCAGGTGGGCTGGAGCAGAGTTAACCTTGTGAAGAAGCTGCGTGAGAATCCCAGTGGGGTGACTCTCGTCTTGAAGAAGATCCCTGGATCAGTGCGACGCAACAACTCAGTTCCGCTCATCTCGACACAGGTCCGGGCTCATTAAAATCCTCCTCCACTCACTTCTTCACTCCACAAACTGCACAAACTTTCTTCAAAATAGTCAGTGAATTTAAAAAAAAGCCCCAATGTATTTACCTTTTTATATATTATACAATTCTTGTACTTTCCACATAATTTGGAAAACAGACTTCACAGGAAAATTATGCTAAGGCCTGTGAATAACACTTCAAAATCTATAACAATGGCGTCTCAAGCTACTTTCACACTCACACAGTGGCCCTGAACGTCTCTAGACATCTGCAGGAGCTGTATGTGAGAACACAAATGTCCAGCTCAGTTGGATCTAATATTTTTAATGGTCTTTACCCTGAAAGCTCTCTGGTACAAAGTCTGTGTGAGGTCTGATTGAGCCTCTGCGAGAAAAGAGAAGGTAATTGTCCTGTGAATGCACAGCCAGTGAGTGTCACTGTGTCCTGCCAGCTGTACGCTCTACCCAGGCTCTAACTTCACCTAAATGAGACAAGAGTATTTCCAGCAGGGAGAATGTGTCTGACCCTGCCATTTGTTTGCTACACGTGAGAAAGCTCAACCCCACAAAATGTCATGATTCAATTCTCCTCACGTAGTCTCAAAATTAAAGCTGTGAAATTTATGGCGGATACACTATAGATATATCATGGGGGAAATCTCAAACCTTCCCATTTTTGTAGCAAATCTTCTCAGAAGCTTAGAAAAGGTTATCTATAATCACTGGATGCCAGCATTTAATACGACACATTTTACGCCCTCACGGTGACTCGAACATTTTTAATAAATTACATTTTTCTCCTCTCTGTCATGCTCATACTTTTAATCATTTGTGAAGCTAAATAGAAGAAACCGCAAAGGCAGCAATGTTCTGCTTTCAAGCGTCTGTTGTCTGTGTTCATTTTAGGATAATTACATCCAGGGGTGAGAGTTGAGCGTCAAATCCTCTCTTAGAAACCTGATTGTTTTATATCAGGGGGATTCTTTTATGAGAATCCCCTCTTTGATTTCCGTTTAACCTCATTTGGGATCTATTTCCATAAACACTTGCGCACTCTCAGTAGTCACTATGCCAACTGTTGTTTGTCTTTGAACACCACCCTGAATTACACACTGCATCTGATACAAACGCGCATGCACGCACGCACTGTGAGCATTTCACACCCCCCTCGTGACCATCACCGTGCTAATCTCAGATCTAGCTGGCGGCATAGGGTGAGAAAAACATTTGAAAGATGTGAATCAGCTGAGTGTATAAACTCCATATTGTCCTCAGAAGATGTCCTGCTTTTCTTCCAAGAGCTTCGCCGGCTGTGTGTGTAGAGTTGTGTGCATGCGGTGTCTCTGTGTGTGTGTGTGTGTGTGTGTTTGTTTGCGTTGCCGTCTTGTCTGCTAAGCCACAGAGCACGCAGATGGCAGAGCCTAGGAGAAGGTTGCAATTAGAGTCTACCGTGACATCCAGCTTCTTAACCCTCCGCCGACCCCTAAATGCAGACAGTTCAACCTACACACTCACACTCTGTTGTGTTTTCAGAAAGAAGAAGAGGACAAGGAGGTGAAATCAGAGGAGGAAGAAGAAAAGGACGAGGAAGAGAGTCCACGGCATTCATTACTCAAGAGAGTGGCAGCATCTGTCAGGTCCTTGTCTTTCAGCTGAGGGCATTCATTTGCTTGTCCTTTAATAAGATAGAACTTAATACCTTGTGTTTAATACTCTAAACCATACAGCAGCACCTGGGTTTGTCTCTAAAATAAACATCAAGAAGAAATCCAAGCTCCATTTAAAGTTAGAATAATAGATGTAGATTTCCGAGGGGATGCATGGAATCCCACCTGAAATATAAACCTTTCTACCCCCCAATTTAGAACACGTGCATTTGCCCCCTCAGTAAACATTAAAAAGGAAGAATTGCTGTAACATTAGTCAGCAGCATAACAATGGCTCCCAGACGGGTGGCTCTTTTTCCTTCAGCATTGTTTTTGTTGCGTTTTGTTTTTTAGTCGCATTATTTTCTCACCAAAAACATTGCGATTTTGTTTTTTCCTGCTTTGTTTGTGTTTTATTCAGCTTAACAACGTTCGACCTTTCTGAGTCACCACATTGTAAAACCTTAACCCAATAACACAATAAAGTCACCACTGCTTAACAAAGTTTAAAACACTTTATTAAGGTGTAGAAAGTCAAATGTAATGTCCCCAACTAGGCCCCAAAAGGATAAAGAATCCAAACTTTTGTTTTCAGACATGATGTACATGAAAACATGTTTTAAACATTAACATCTCGATTTTTGTCTATGAAAAGAAAAGGTTTTGTGCATACACCCGAGGCACAATCCACAAATAGTTTGGCCATATTTAGCAACCCAACAAGTGAGAATGCTTTAAGAAAGGTATCATTACATCACCTAAATGCCTGAGAATAAGAATGAAAGATTAAAAAAATAAATAAACAAGAATGCAAACAATGCAAAATTGAATAAAATATGCAAAATTGTAGACAGACGTCTAAAACAGATTTAAAAAAAAAAAAATTTTTTGCCAATTGTCTAATATTTTCTGAATTTAAATATTCTTTTTTGCTTTTTTAAAAAAATTGTCAATCACTTTGTTTGCATACATGCATGAGAAAAGCAGTAAGAACAAGTTGACTACTGATCTGGTTACACAGCATTTACTCAGTAGAGCTGAACATCCCTGAAACCCTTTTGACCTTGTTCATCTGCCAGCACCCGGCAGGTTTCCTTTGAGGTCACACTGCAAATGCCACAAATTCCACTGCGAGCTCGCAACACACGACTGACTGGAATTGAGTTAAAAAGAAGAGATGAGGAGAAAGATTAAAAAATGCAGGAAAAAAATTAGTAGACGGGAGGAAAAGAGTGATGAAGAGGCAAACAGGGACAGCGAGAGCTGATGAAGAGCAGGCGGACTCTAGCAAATGGATGGAGTGGGCGGTGATGGTGCCTTGTGGTTGTAAATAATTCTGACACATTCTAATATACAACAGCTACATTTTAAGAAAAAAGGGAGAAACTGGCAAATAAAGTCATATTTTTTCTCTTGAAATTACTCTTTTTAAGGACTTGTAGTTTTGTAATGTGCTGTTAGTGTTTTCCAGCTAGAGGTTTCACTTTATATCAGCCACATGTGGCAACTGTGAATATAAAGTAAGATAAAAATCTGTATTTTTGCATAATGTTTATGTAATTTCCTCGCTGCTCATTCTTTGCGCAATGTTTCTTTTCTGTAAACCGTCATGCATTTGGACTTTTAATTTTATAATACCAGATGCTGCATCAGTGGAACCCAACTGCTGTGACTGATATTTCTATATATTTTGTTACAGACGAGCTGTTCAGGGGCCAGAGGTGCAACAGCAGCCCATGGGACAGGAAGAATCTGAAATATCCTCAGTCAAGGAGCTTGAGGAAAATCTGAGCCTCACTTCATATCAAAGCCGACAGGGGGCGCTTTTGGCACCAGGTAAGACAAATTTGCAAGATTTTACCTTTTCTTATAACTGATTATATTTTAGTTACTTTGTGTTTTTCTTTTCAGAAGGATTTTAAACTGTTGATTACAACACACAAAGTGTATTATCACGGCATGCCACACTGTAATAGTTTCACTATCATTTGACCTTCTGCACAGAAACCACAATGTAACTGAAGTGCAAAGATGTGGGTTTATTTAGAAACTTCATTCTGTTTCCCAGCAGGGTCAGAGAGCTTGAGAGGTTCAAGGCTCTCACTAAATCGCCTGAGAGACCGCTCGCCCTCGCCTGCAAAAACCAAACAGGACAGAGCTAGCATCAGTTCCTGCCCTGATATGGTGGGACACACGGTGAGGGGAAATTGAGAACATTCACTAACAGTTGTTTTTGTTACAATCCAGGCAATTAATGGTGATTTAATTAAAGTAAGCTTTTAAACACTGAGTGATCGCTGTCTGATTATCTTTTCAGGGGAACAAGGATGGTAAGAAGACCTCCACTAAAGGTACGATTTTCTTTATCACAGGACAATAAAATAAACAAAACACTGGAGTGTTTTTGTAATGCCAAAATCAGCGCCAAACTGATAACTCCTCTGTAAGCTGTGGCTTATAGAAGAGTGTCTGTAAGACCAGGAGCACAGCAAATCTGTCGTCAACCACATGCTAACAAAGGGCCATCTAATTACTGTGTTTTTCTCTCTATTATTATTATAGTTTCTTGAGCTCACAATATAAAGTGGCTCGAGGCAACTGTTGTTGCCATTTTCTGCCACATGAAATGGTCACAGAATGATAAGCATGTCCAAAACACAACTAAGACTAAATAAAAACAATGAAAATAAAGCATTGCAAAAGAAAGAAGACATAAATAGCCAAGAAATACATGCCTAAACAGAAACAAGAGGTAAAATATAATGATTCTTTAACAAAAAAATCCTGACTGAGGATGATTTATTCCACTGAAAACCTGTAGAGTGCCGGAAACTTGTCCTGCAAAGGTTACTGGAAAACCTGATGGGAACAGTATGTAAGGTTAAGCAGTTAGTGAACTGTGTAACACCGTTTCAAATGTGAGAAGCGATGTGAGTTTGTTGGAAGCTTTATGGATGATACTAAGACAACTCAGCTGTGTGATACAGAGATTAGGAGGGCTCAGTTGCTGTGGCAATAATGTAGCAGGAAAGAATAACATGAATTCAGTGCTTGGAATTGCAAAGAAAGATCAAGTCGAATTCCCCCAAAATAAAAACTGCTTCAACTTAAATATTAAATCGTAAATTTTCTGTGCTTTTATATTTCCTGGAATGGGTTTAAAAGGATCTAATACTGGAGACATCGCAAAAGCCCAAAAAACCCCAAGAAATCCCCAAAAATTGAGTTCACTTATCAGGATCCTTATCTCCCTTCTCTTCCTTATTTGTCTTTCAGGAAAGACGACGGCTATGAGCCGGCGTCGTGTGTCCTGCCGTGACTTGAGTCACCCCGACTGCGACGGTTGGCTCTGGAAGAAAAGAAAGGAGAGCAGTGTCTTCATTGCACAGAAGTGGCAACGGTTTTGGTTCGTGCTCAACGGGCCTCACATTTACTGGTACAAGAGTCAACAGGTGAGCAAAAAATCAAGAAAAAGGTCGTTATCGCTGTTAGTTCATATAATACCTAAAGCACATGATCTATCTGAGTTAGTGCCACATGCAGTATTAACTATCAAAATATTTTGCATTCATCTAATTGTCAGTATGTCTAATTCTCTTCAATTGTATTTCAGGAGGAGAAGGCAGAGGGGTTTCTCAATATATCCAGCTATGGCATAGAAAGCGCCGGAGAGCACAAGAGAAAATAGTAAGAGTGATTCCAGTGATGAGTCACATAATGGTGCCATAATGGAAAGCCATGGTTTAAAACAGCAATTATATTATGTATGCACACAGTGGAGCATTTGTCTTATCTTTATGCAGGAAAGTGTGCAATTTCTTAAAGAAAAGGTGTAAAGCTGTCTTATTGGTACTTACAGAAGAGAACGCAAATAAGAATTTCTCAAGTGAATATGTGTTTCTGCATATTTAGGTCTTCATGTTTGTGACACCCCTGCTCCTTCTCTCTGTTTTCTCCCTACCAGCGTATTCCAAATGTGCCACCCAAAATTTCAGAACTTTATTTTCGCTGCGGACAATGTCAATGACATGAGCAAGTAAGTTCATACTGTATAATGATATAACAATGTCACAATCGGCTGGTTGTGTCGGGCAGTAGCTCGAACACAATGCAGTCATTCATTCGTCTTTTGCTAACAGTCTATGTTAGAGGTGGTAAAGTTGTAACAGGTGGTGGTGTTCACTGCCCCCTGCTGGTTGCTTTTTTCAGGCTTCTCTAGTGAGACTGTTATGCATTGTTTAAAGATGTTATCCTCAACATACTCTCACTAGACACTTTATTAGAGAGATGCTGCAACTATCAAGCTGGACTCCCTTTTACCTTTTACATCCCAAAGGTGCTCTATTGAATTGAGATCAGGTGACTGTTGGAGGCCAGTTGTGAGTGCTGTGAACCTGGACACAGACCAGTACAGTACTTAATAATAAAGTGTTCAGGTAAATGTATATGAATATTGGTGACATAGCTTATCCCCTTTTTTTTCATCAGATGGATAAACTGTCTGATTACAGCCATACAGAAACACAAGAAGTTCAACAAAGGCCCAGATAATGAGGAAGGTGTGGAAACATTTCTCTTATGCTTTTAAATTTTTACTCTAAATCACTTAATTGTATGTTCACAATACAATTCGTGTTTTCCCATATATTTCCTACGGCATTAGCAATAATGCATCGTGATGTGTCCTGCTTGAGCAAATAAATGGTAGATATAATGATATTTTCGCCATAAAAAATAAGAGCAAAAAAGCTAATTGTTGTCTCATAATTATCTAGTAACACAGAGCATTATTGTTAATTACTGTAGCTTTTAGCTTTACAAATGGCAGTCATGATGCGTCACATTTTAGGTAATGGCATTACATTGACAGCTGTGTTCATTTATAAACAGAGTGTTACAGTGAAACTGAATCAGAGAGCGAATCATCTCCTTCAACCCGCAGGAAAAACAAGGTTAGCTCGGTAAGAGAGTTATATATTGCACAAATAATCATTAAAGCATGCACATACACATCCAGATTACATTCATTTCATATTTATCTTGATTGTCTTTCTCAGAAGGTACAGTCCAGCACCCTACCTCTCCCCAAGGGTAAGAACAGGGCGCCATTACCCAGACCTACAACAGAGGGCAGCAAAGGAACAGGTATTTGTTATGTCACACTGCCTCTCTCCTGCTCTCTTGTTCTCTCAGTAATAAAAAATGTCTTTAATCACAGCGTAATGAGTGTTAATATTTTAAGACTCATTAAGTTTTAATATTCTCTGAGAGAGTAAATAAGATTAATTGTGTTGTTTACTCACCTTTAATCCTGTTTTGGATAGATGGTTCACAACAACTGTGTGACTGTTTTTTTCCTGTGTTTCCTCACTTCTGTTAGAACCTGGTCAAGTAGATGAGATGGGCATGATGATAAACAATCTAAAGGAAGGGGGAGTTTCTCTGATCGGCCACGAGCAGCCGTTCACGCACGACCACTTCAGGAAGTCATTCATTCGGCGCAACAAAAATCCCGTCATCAATGAAAAGGCACTCACGCTCCGAGCTCTGCAAAGCACTCTAAAGGTGAGGAAAAGTCTCATCCAGTCTTACCTTTCCTTGTGTCTGCATGGAAAGCCATGCGATTCAGCATTAACTCCAGCAACTGATACACAAAGCTGTGATGGTCCTGAGTCAGTGACCCAGTGTTTTCTGTTTTGTATTATTAATCTTTGACTTCTTGATGTGTCTTTGTTAATGCTTAGAGTTTTGGTTCTTGTGTTTAGTGTTTTGTTATATCTATCTGTGTCCTCCCCTAGTGCTCTGTTCGTGTTCCTGAGTTTGTGTTTGTAAAACAGTTTGTAAATTTCCTGTTTTACTTTGAAGGTCTGTGTCTCTCATGTCTAATTAGGTTCAGCTGTGTCCTCCTCTGGTGTGTCATTCCCTTGTGTGTTTATATAGTGTGGTTTCACCCGTGTTCATTGTCGCTCTGTCTGTGTTATTTGGGGTATCTCGGTGTTTTTCCCTGCATGTCATTCCATGAGTTATGGTTTCGGGTTTTGTTTCTTTCCAAAATAAAGCTCCTTCGCATCACAGCCAGTGCCCACATTTCGGGTCCTTTCTCACAACACCACACGACTGCTGCTGGAGCCGTGACAGTAGCAGGTACATTTATCACTGAGTGCATGACAAATGGCTCAGCTGGTGAATTAACCAAGCATCTTAATTATCGAACGTTGCTCTGGCAGGAGCTATATAACAAAATTAAAAACTCAGCTTTTATTAGTAACTCGCTTTGGCCGTAGGGAACATGGAAGACATGGGTAAAACCACTCCTATTTAAAACTGCAACACACTGTTTGTGCAAGTTTTATGAAAAGAGGCATGAATGAAACTTTAGCAATAAACCGTCTTGCTCAGAAAGGTTTTTGTGTTCAAATGGTCAGAGGGTGATATTAAAATTCATCTGCATAGTCACTGACTGGAATTGCTTTTTCTCCACAGGCCAAAGAAGCGGAGTTGCAGCAGATCAACAAGATCCTGGGCGACTCCGATCTGACACCTTCAAAGTACCGTCAGTGGAAGAAGAACAACGAGGAGCTGTTCAAGGAAATCGAGAAACTGGTCTCGCTCAAGGCCTCCAAAGCAGGGGACCGCGCACCTGAGCAGGTCACGCCCACTGAGGAGGTTGCCCTAGAAACTGTTGCCAAGGAAACAGCCGCCGCAGAGGCAGAAGGCGCATATAGACTAAGCCTTAGCGATGGGGAGCAGTTAGTCGATGCAGAGCCATCTGACGTTCTTCTGGAGATGTCACAAGCGTCTCCGAGCACAGACAGCAGCCCAGTATTAGAACTCTCTCTCGGCTCGCTCCAGGATTCAATAAACAAACAGCTGAGTGAAATGGCACAAAGTGGAGACACTTCAGAGAGCTACTTCTTCATTTAAAGCCACACCAGTTCAAAGTTGCTCTGTTTAATAACAGTTAATAATGTTAGACAAATGAAAGCTTTTCTTCATGCAACAATGTGAGACAGCGCAGAGGGTTTTTTTTTTTTCATTAGGAGCAGTTAAAAGTTGTATTAAAAATGGCCACAAAATCAAACATTTTCAAATCAAACATGTCAGTGAAATACATCAGTACATACTTGTTTGTCTTTTTGTTTAGGAAACAAATTTCGATAAATGACGAGTTTACAACAGCAAAGAGAACATGAAATTACCAAGTGTCACAGTCTTAGTTTGGTATATATTTATATAATTTTAAAATTATCATTCTTCTTCTTCTGTGGTTAAAAATCATCAAGTATGACTTTGCTTGGAACTTGTGATATAAGTTGTACCTTTTGCAATGTGATATGTATGTACAGTTTTACTATAAATACTCTATGTATTTGTTTATTGACATTACCTTAATAAAGGTCCATGTGAATAATTTTGTACACAATTTCTCCAGAAACACTGCTGTTGCTCATCTGGGTAAGTCCTTTTCAAACTCCCTTCATGACCTTAATGAGAACCTTTCACCAAAAATTATATATTTAATGAACTTAAACCTCCTAAGACCTGAACTCTTTCATGGCATGCATTTTTAATTTCTCTTTGCTATTTGGGCTGATTGAGACCTGTTGAATGTAAAAACAAACAAATATCTTTTTATCTGATTTTGCTCTTCAAGGGCCTGATATGCACCTATGAGGTCATTTGTTTTCAATTCCAGTAGAACAGTGGCAGTATAATATCCTCGTGGATATCCAGCCCTTGTAGAGCAAAAGTTTGTATTGTGGTCTAGACAACCCAAAATTTGGACACTAGGTCCTAGATCCTAGGAGAATAAAGAAGAGCTGCGTGACAGCCGAGGTTCTCAATTACCTTTTGCCTGGATCTGCTGTAAATGCACTAAGACAGATGATGTCTTCCTAAATACTAAGACATCCCATGCGACCCTGCTGCTTTAAACTGTAACCTTCACTTGCTCAATTAAAAAAACGAGAGTGTAACGATCACTGAAGAGTGTTGTGATGTTTTGTGATTTCCTGCAACTAAGTGGGAGATAACGGCCCAGACTTGGTAAAGTAGTGTGTCTGTGTTTCTAAATGTGTGTGTCTGTCTTCAGTGCAAGAATTCCACCCTGAGGAGGCTCCTTACACCCTCTTCTCTGTCTGAGACCTCTTTTAAGCCGTCCACTGACGTTCACTACTAAGTAGATAAAATGTTTATTTATGAGCTACTTGTTCTGTGCGAGCGGGTCTCAAAGACCTGAGTTCTCAACCATGATGTGAATTTCTCTCCTCTCCTGAGGTTGTTTGTTGCCAGCTGAAGCGATTGAATTGGTTATTCTCACATCGGATTGCGATCTCTCCACGTGGCTCCAGGCAGCATTCACATCTAACATCTATTCACATAATGTTGCTTGGTTTAAATGCAGTGAACTTGTCTGCCGTACAATATGTGAGATGATCACTCTGGCTCTCGGCCTCGTCTTAAGACAAATAATGTGAATTTATTTCCATATTAAACATGTAAATGTATTTAGCTTCCAAAGTTATCTTCATAAGTGCATGTGCTCCTATTTCCTGATTTCTTTTTTCTTCATTGCAGCATAACCTACCTAATCTGAAAAGTAATAAATGAATAAATGCAACAGATTGTGATAAATAGTTTTTTTATTTAGTGCAACAAATATGAGCATGAAATGACAACACAAACAAGTCATTTGCAAGGAATAAAAAAATACCCTTTTGTATATCCTCCTGTGACGCCTACTTTAATATTCGTAGTGCTCATCTTATTCCAGAAATATAATGTTACCCAGTGAAAGCTCCTCCTGTGCTCAAGAGCAGCAAATTCATCAACAAAACAGGATATCACATATAAATGTAAATCTTTTTTTTTGTTAACAACCAGCTTAATACAGATGAAACCGAGTGTGATGATCTTAAGAATCTAAGCTATTTTTTTAGGCTTCTGCTGGCATCATCTATGATTCACAGTTCTGTTCAGACAATTTTCTTCTTAACAGTACAAATGCATGGCTACAACGTAAAGGCAACACAAAGCAATACTTCAATCGTATTTCACCACATGTTGCATTTAAAGGCAGCGTGATGTTGAATCTTTTTCTAACGTGACATTCATCCATTTGTTTTTATTTACACCCCCAGATCATGTTTGTTCCTGTGTTAAAGGAGAGCTACATCCATTATGTTTAAACCTGCATGACAGTTCATTACTAAGCAGCAATGTCTGGTAGTACACAGTCATTTATGAATTTATGACTTTTCATTACATAAGCTACACACTGAAAAGATAAAAATGGGTTTAGAAAGTGCCCTTAATGCTTTTTTTTCTCTTTTCTGTCCACGCTTTCTGTCCACGTTTAAAATGTTGGACAAGCTTCTAACAACTAACTTCATATACATCCATGTCAGGCTTGTTGGTCATTTCTGGACATGAGTGGCAGGGAGAGACAGATAGCTCATGCCTAGATGGGCAGGTTGGGCATCGTGGTCGTTTGAAACTGAAAAGCAAAGCGGCGCCTCCCAACACTTGTAGACACGAACCCAGCCACCCAAAGTAAAGCGAGCCAGCTGGATGCAAGTTGAGGTGTGGGTACCGTGGGTTATGAATCCTTTGACTTGGATCCATCCCGAGTCTTTTAAGGTTGTGGGTGTAAACCCCTAACGCAGTCAGGCTCAGCAGCCCTGCTGTCACCACCAGAAGTCCTCCTGAGGCTGCTACACCTCTCAGAGGGAGATCTGCCCAACACCGGACCCCGATGCAAGCCAGGACAATGCCAGTGCCGCACAGGAACAAGGAAGTTAGCACCAAACCCTGTGCCAGACGAACCCTGGGGTCTCTCTGATACGGACCAGCCACAGGCCAGCACTGCCTCAAGTCAGAGCGCTCCACCTGCAGGCAGCTCTCCCATAGTCCATCAGAGCGCAACAAGATCAGTGCCTCCACTGAACTGGACCTGGTCCCATGACTTTTTGTTCCTGACCGGAGCAGACTTCCCGGTCCTGCCATTCCCAAATGTGCCTGTCCCTCTCTCCACTGGGGGGTGATGGCAGCAGTGAAGACTAGGACCAAACCCAAGGGGGCAAAAACGATCCCCATCACCATGGAGGCTGGAGTGTGCATCTTTTGTTCTCACAAATCCAGCTTGTCAGGAATAAAAAATAGTACAGTACCAGTGTACAGTATGCTACAAATATTTTACAAAAGACAAATAACAGTGGTTGTGTCTCCAGACAGAGACATCGCCTGCAGGTCAAATCTTGGCATGGTTTACTCTGCTCTAAAAGAAGAAGAAGAAGAAGAACATTTAGATAAAATCCTGTGTTTAAAAAAAATCAGTTTGTGTCACAAACATCTCCTCCACTTTCTGACAAGAAACACAGAGAGCTTTAGAGAGCTATAAATATAACTGTGGCAAGTGCAAAGACAGTCACTACAACAATCACAGCATTAAAGATTTAACACGATAAAATAAGAAAAAAGCTCGTCCAGTACCTCTTAAACGAAAGTCTCCTGTGTTTAATCTGCAGGCTCTTCATTCTGACTGCCTGAGTGAAAGAGAAGGTCAATGTGATGATGAGAGACAGAGAAAAGCAGAGGCAGAGCTGAAGTGGAGTAAACACAAGTACACGAGCAGACGGAGAAAGCAGAAGGAGGTTTGGCTTCACTGCTCTTGCGCTGGACAGGGAAAAACACACACACACAAAAACCCAGAGCAGTCGATGGCTGCCTCTGTTGCTAGGATACAATAATCTGGCCAGGCTCAACGTGGCAGTATGCGTGTGCGGTTGTGTTTATCACAAGACTTCTCTCTGCACAAGATGTGATGATCTCATGTGTACAAATGGTACAAATGTTGGCATACTTGAGTTTAGTGTGTGCGTGCGTGTGTGTGTGTGTGTGTGATGAGTGTGCCACTATTTTTTTTAATGTTTGAGGATTGATGGCCAGCTGTGACCTTGGTAGAATTCAGTCGGGTTAGTAATTATGTCAGGCCACTGTTTGAATGCAGAGTGAGTCTCAGACAGAACAGTAAAGAATGTCCCAGGAGAAGAGGACAGAGTGAAGACGTAAGTGAATCATGCAGACAAACAAGCCGGACATCTCTGTTAAACAAACAACGTCTGCAAAGATGTTATGATGACAAAGCTGCAAGACGTAGCTCACTGTGTTTTTGCAAAGGAGGATGACTAGAAATGTTGAGGCTGTTTATAATAATAATAATAATAATAATAATAATAATAATAATAATAATAATAATAATAATAATAATAATAATAATAATAATAATAATAATAATAAGCTGTATAAAAGGGAGAGGCTTCCCATATGGAAACTAAATAGTACTTTTCTAACTTTCTAAGTAACATTATGTTAAATATACAGCATAAACATTTGCAGGTTCTTTTCTCATTTCATTTCCACATGGGTTTATGCCTCACACAGAAAATTATTATAGCAAGCAAAATGTGTTTACACAAAAAAGTATTTAACAAAGAAAAGTCTTTTTTATCTAAGGCACATGATGATAAGATGTCACAAAACATGCAAGCTGTTAGTGAGCTCTACATATAAGAATGCAAAAATTAAAAAGTAAAAAAAAAGTGCAACTATAGTTTAACTTATTAGATATTACACAGATTCGTATCCATCATTAATTGTTTAATCTTTTCTTTTCTTTATTAATTACAAATTATATATATATATATATATATATGATCCTGCTTCTGAAGGTTAAGAAAACAGAGGAATGCCTATTTTTAAGCTTAACTTATAACTTACAGGAAGATATTGATCCAACAGCATTCACATTTGTAAATCTGATCTATAATTGATGGCGAGATATTACTCCAGCAATGTTGCTTAGGAGCTGATGACATATAGCGTGACTGAGTCAGTCTTGTTCCTCTTTAATTTAATTGGAGATTACACTTTGCAAAGAAGCAGCAGTGTGCAGGAAAAGACAGAACGTACAAGAAAAATATTGTTTTAAATGTGCAGAGACAATTGTAGAATTTTGCATGAGAATGCATGTCTGGATGCGGGACACAGGATAGGATTGTAGCATCATAAACACAAATATCACCTGCTTGACTTTAGTGACATAAAAAACATAGAAGATGACAGAGACAAGAATCAAAGCTCTGAGCCACCTGTGAGGGCTTTCATGTGCACCACAAAGTCTCACTTAGGTATGAATTATGTTCTATACACACTTGTTACTCTTGCAGCTGTCGCATTGCCAAGTCCATTGATTACTGCCACTGTAATGACTGTAAATGCAGTGCAGCTCCCTGAGGTGCTTGATTAGGTTTGATGCAGAAAAGAAAGACATAAAGAGGCCAGTCATGATCCAAAAAATTCTAAGCATGCAGTACATTTTTAATGGCATTTTCCCTCATGAGGGGATATTTGGAGCAAATACAAACACATGCACGCACACCGACACAGTCCATGAAGTAACAGTCACTTACCATTCAGGAGGGGTTGTTTGTATCTCACTGCAGATCGCTGGCTGCCTCCCTGCTGTCGTCTGAATGGCTAACATGTTTCTCTCTGTGGGAGCAGATGGTGCGATGACTTCTTTATTGTTCTTTCTCCCTCTTTCTTCTCATCTGCCCTTGCTTTAAAAATTTCTCCACTTGCCTCTGCATCCTAATTTCCTCTGTCTTCATGTCTGTGTTCTTGTGTCTGCCCCCTCCTCTTTTTTTCCCCCCTGGCTGCTTCCTCAGCTGTCTGCTTCTCTTCCCCGCTATCCCACTTTCTCTCTGGATGTGTTTCTCTCTTTGACTTGCTGATGTCTGTGTTATCTAGGACAGTCCCTCCCTGCTTTTCCCTGTCGCTGTTGCCAAGTAGGGAATGTGGGGAGCTTTCTGAGTAATACCAACACTTCAATCTGCCTGTTTTCGACCACATAGAGGTGTTCGAAAATCAAAATCTGACTGCTTATTGTTTGCCTTTTTATGAAACCCGTTTTATTTTGAAAACACAGACATAGGGACACAAGCTTGCACAATCACTCCCTCACTGGCAGGTGTCCCAATTTATGTGGGACTGCAGAGCATTTTTATCCTTTTTCCTTCATGCCACATTTTGATTGGCTGAAACATGAAGTAAACACTGCAAGACAGACACTGCAAAGGGGAAGAGAAGGCAGTCATAGTGGTCAAAGGGTAGTTTAACCTGTAGGTGTCTTTGGCTGGATACACTTTGAACATGGAAAGGTGTGAGCCACTAAAAAGTCACAGTTTGTGGAGATGCATTGAAGAAATACTGTATGATGGAAACTACTACAAACCTAGAAATGTCTTATAACTGAAAGTTGATTGTTAGAGTTTTAATGTCAAAAAGAGATGCATACAGCTGCAACCCCAATAAAGCCTCAGGACAAAGAAGTTCCATCACATGCCAGATCTATAACCCTTTCAGCTTGTGTGAAAAAAGTACATCCAATGATTGTTAATTGACAGAAGCACCTACAGCAGCACTGCTTTCGGTATGACCTTAACTCTCAAGGTCCTGCCACAGCATTTCAATCGGGTTGAGGTCCAGACATTCTGTTGTTCCTGGGATCACTGTCATGTTGTATGACCCAGTTTTAGCTTTAAAATTAGCTGTTGGGCCGATGACCACACACTTGATTCTAGTATAGACTCCAAGCTGCCTCGGTCCGAGTAAAAGGCTGTTAAACAATTGCAAAACAATTCTTCATACCTCCACCACTGTGCTCTACTGTTGGACAGTTGGTGTGAGGTGCTTCCTGTGCTTCCTGCCTCTGTTTATCATGCTTTCACATCTCCATTCCTAAGGACTTTGATCCAGACATCTTGCTGTTCATATGCAACATTGTAAACCTAAGATGTATTTTTTTTTAGCATTGGAAGACCTGACTTTTGGGTGAATTTGCAAAGACATCCATCCCTGAGAACATTGTGGCAATGTGTTAACACACACCTGAATCTTCTGGACCAGCAAACCACCAAAACATCTGCTTTCACAGAGGTTCTCACACTTCCTGATGATCAATTAAAACAAAGCAGCACCTAGCTGCTACTTAACCTCTTAAATCCCATGGAGGCAATTAGAGAGTACTTCATTTTTTTACAGGACTGCATAGAGTCTTGTAAAAACTTTGTTTTTCAATGCTTTTCACTTTTATTGACACCTCTCACAATGTCTCATGCAAATATACTATTTGCTGCACATTTGGTGTGTTGGAGTCTGAATAACACACACACACACACACACACACACACACACACACACACACACACACACACACACCTATTTAACATTTAGACTTTCAGAATATGAGAGGACCAATCTCAGGCACAGATCAGTTTCATGCTTTTGTTTGATGTGTAGAGAGAGCAATCAGCTCTTGCTGAATTTTCCAATATGCACTTAATCTCCTAGGCTAATTGTAATTATTCACACCTCCTCTACACAAGTGGTATCTTTTGTTTTTCCCACTGCTAATTTATCTCTTTTTTTATTTCAGTCAGAGCTGTAAAAACAGAAACAGACCCCAAACCTCTTATGCATTTTCTTTATTTTCATACAAAAGGGCCAATGCTTGACCAATATAACCTGTAAAATTATGAAATAACGCAGGGATACATGCACGCTTTGAAATGATGCATAATGTTTAAAGAAACAAACAAGTTTTTACACATGCATATACATGCACACAGTGAAAGTCCTCTGGCTGGGATGAGGGTGTTTTTGAAGTGTTTCCAAAAAAAAAAATCTGTGGTTTCACCATACAGTCAGGAAATGTCCACAATTTAGGGGCTAAATGATGACCAATACTAACTCATGTGTGGTTTTATGGGTGGAAATGTCTGACTTTAGGTTCTGAATCCAACCCAGTGTTGGGTGATCTCGGTTGTGAAACTAACAAGAACCTAGAGGAGGATACTTTTGGCAGTAAAAAAAAATAGTGACAGCAGACTGAGAGTAAGAAAAAAAAACGCACCATTGGGTTTTTATAGAAGAAATGATGAGTACATTGCAAGCAGCAAGAATAGTAACCTATAAAAATGCTAAAAAAAAATGCTGTGCACAAATCATGCACAGAGCTCTTTCAATAAAAATGAAATACATAGCAGTTTATGGAAACTGGTATTCTATATGTACACAGATAGCTCATACAACACTGTCTTATTAAAACCTATTTACATTAAATACATAAAGGGCCGCTGAGCATTATTGCTCTGACGTTAACACAATCACAAGAACGGGGGAGAAGAATGATATGTACAACATTTTAGACAGAAGTAAAAAACTGGGGTGCTGCTTTCACTTCAGTTTTCTTCTCGCTTTTTGGCAGTCCACATCCTACATTCTGTCTGCTCAGGCAGTGCTTCAAGAAATTGATCAAACTGGCATCTTTATTTCTTCATCCTTCAGCAGAGTGGGTGGCTGATTCTTCTCATACTTCAACAAGGGTAACCTGGAACTGACCGTTGCCCAACTCGGAAACCTCGATGAGGAATGCCGACTGGTTGGTGTAGTGTTGGATGATGTTGTCATCCATGTTGACAAAGATCCTGTTGGGGAGACAAACAAAAAGACAGGGTTACTCCAGGGACTGTGGAGAAACAAGGTGCAAAACCATTAACCTATTTAGAAAAAATCATATTCGTCTCTAAAACTGCGGGGTTCAAACAGCCTAATAATGCGTTCAGTGTACTCAACCTTTCACCCTGGTGTGACACAAACAGGTTGCCAGGGTTAAAGACAACATGTCTTTTGTTTGGAGGAAGATCTCAAGTGAAAGACATAGAGGCGGTATATCTCCTGCATCAGTAGGAGTTAAAAATCAGGTCACCCTGTTCTTCCGCCTCCTCCTCCTCTGCAGCACTAACACTAGCCTTTAAGGCTGTAATGACTGAACTAACCACCGGCCCATGCATTCTGCCTGCAGGGACAGGATTGATTGAAGACAAGAGCAATAGACAGGGAGGGAACTGCAGGGAGAATGTAACCCAACCTGTTAGTTTAGCTGCTCCCCCTGCGGTGATTGCTTCCAGCAAGCAGCAGGAAAATTACCCAAAGGTGTTTCAGCTACTGACAGTAAGTCTCAAAACGAAAAAGCACAGACTATCAACAGTTTGTCAGCCACACAGAAATTCTGCTAATTATTCTTTCGCGGCTAGTTGTAAACCCTTCCTATCTAAAATAAAGAGCATCCGTATTCACCGTGGAAAAAGCGCAGCTACCTGTGTGACCTTTCACCATTGAGCTGAAAGACGCATGACAATTGTAAACCTGACAGACAGCCTTCAGCTAGCGAGTGGAAACATCCAAAGCCTTTATCATATCAGGAATTTCGTCTTTCAATGCTGCTTTCTGATGTTCCAAAGAGATAATGTTATGAAAACATAAATAAGTGCAGCCATTGCCAGTGACTCACCAGCAGGACTTAAAAAATCTTTTCATCTTCTTTCAGTCATATAGTTTTCCTTTAGAAGAGCTGCAATTAAAACATTCCAGGGCCGAGCCAACTAACCTACCCGCCCGGTTTATCAACAAGCGCTTCCTTAAGGGAAGATAAGATTAAAACAACAAAATAAGCCCCAAATCAATGCAAATCATGGCGACAGGTGCACTTGGTCTGACATCTGTCTGCAACACAGGAGCCTGTCTGAGATATCACAGGGTGAGAGGTAGGGTATCAGCAACCACGGAAAGGTTGGAGGGCCAAGACAACCATTCACTTTCACAGCTATGGTTAATTCCTCAAAAAATGTTTGGATTGGAAAAGAAAGCTTCTTAGTGCCACCAATAATCTCAGTTGTTTTTGGTAATTTGTAAAATCACAGTGCAATAGTCATAACAAAAGAACAGGACGCTCACCCTCTCTTGCATTTTTTGTAGATTTTCCCGATGGTTTCTTTTTGCAGGCCGTACTTTTCTGAAATCTGAGGAAAGTAAAGGAACGAGAAGACTGTTAGCATGATCTGATGAAAGAAATATGATATTTACTTTTGGCAAAAGATATGGTACAAATGTTCCGATGAATACAGAAGTAAACAGGTGAAGGTGCTTTTGATCCCCACCTCAGGGAACTCAAGTCAGAGGACTCTGGAATGTGTTTTTGTGTGTCTTTAAACCAATCATGTGATACTTACAGCTTCTCGCAAGCCCGACAGCGTTGGCGAGTTGAGCATGAGGGCATCAAACACCTCTTCAGAGTTTGTCCTCACGTACAGAAGAACTAATATAAACCAAGAAAAAAACATTTTTTAGCACCAAAGAGGACACTTTTTTTCAATTTTGATTTAACTTAGATTTTTTTATGAGACTTGCATGTTTCTATCTACCTCTCTGTGCATCTTCTTTGCGAGCTTGTTTGTTGGTTGGGGAGCTCGTCTGGTCTCTGTCTGGATACAGCCTCTTCAGAGAACTCCTGGAAGCGCAAATATTTGCATTAGACAAAAGCGGCCACTTAGCTTCTGTTTGAAAATGCTGACTGTGATGGCTAAATGTTATGTTTTTTTGTGCGTGTGTGTGTGTGCATAACTATGCTTACCTTTCTGCTTCGTCCATGGGAGTGGCCTATAGAGACAGGGAAACAGAGAGGAGACCAGAGATCTGATTAGACGCTTCTCTACTGATAAAGGCATTGCCTAATGTCCCCCCTTCCCAGAGCTGTCTATGCTTAACATTTTAAAAGAAAAGGAATGTTATCATCATTTTAGTGCTGCATTTCCCATAACCTCTAACGGAGCAGCGGAAGTGTGGACACTG